ACTATAAGTATCATATGGTGCATAATATATTAGCAGCGAACGAAAATACACTTTTGTCGTATTATTAATTATATTATTTAAAATAGTATTTAAATATAATCGAAAGATACATGCGTACGTAAAAAAAATTAAATGATTAAAAATAACAACTATTTCGTCGTAGCAATAATCGTCTGTGCATTATTATTGAATGAAAATTAAAATAATTATTTTTATTTACGTTATGTTTTTATAGTTCAACCAATCAGCGTATCGGGTCTCCACAATATTACGTTGAAAGCTAAAAGCGCTTTAAAGTTGATGTGTAGAGCCAAGGGCAACCCGATGCCTGCTTTACAGTGGTTCAAAGACGGTGTACCGGTTTTGGTGGGCAGGCGAAGGATTCAATACAAAAAGTAATTATGGGCCATAGTACGGATTGCGTCAAATGCGTATACCCTTTTTTGCAAAATCTTGTTCGGTGACTATATGGTGGTATCGTGTTTTAGGAAAAGATCCATGCTTGTGATACCTAAGGTGAGGCCAGAAGACAGTGGCAAGTACGAGTGTAGAGGTACCGGAGTCCAAACCGGCCATGTGGCTATTACGTCGGCCCAAGTCATAGTTAATTCCAAACCGGACAACAGTAAGTACAATAACAATCGTTAAATACCTTTTAATTTTTTGGAGCTTGATTGCGTTAACTTGATTTTAAAGTCACAACATAATTTCATACTTGAATCATTTCTGAAGGAAATGTTCAACTTATACATATTGATAAAATTTGCTATATGGTCACACTAGAAGGAACTTTATTCAAATTTTAATGATATGTACACACATAATTTAATCACTTAATTATCATTGTTTGTAATTTAAACGAACAAATTTAAAAAAAAAAAAACCCCATCAACCATGCGATTGATCTCGAATACAATAACAAAAATAACATCATTTATTATAAATACGTATAGAAAAAACCGGTATTGTGAAGTTTAAATGGAATAAAATTAATTAGACAAGTTTTACCTTTTTTTTTTTTTAATAACCAATTCTCAATTCGATTTTTCGCTTCTTAATTGACTGGGAATAACGGATACGAAATGTAGGTAGTAATAAAATTGTCTGTGAAAAGTAGTAGCCGGTCGCGGTGAGTTACTTTTAAATCACCACCGACATTGTAAACAAATACACGATAGATCATTTATGAAAATTAATTTTTCATCAATAAGTATGCATGACCGATTCGAATAAAAAAATTCATTGAATAACGAATGGATCGGTGCAATCGCGCGTTATTTAATGCGGAAACACACCAAGGGCTGTGTCGTCATAGGCAAAACCGTGCATGAGCTTTTCTCGTTGTTCTGAGTCGGATACGACCGGTCCTAGTCGGTACGAGAACGGTTTTCGTATAAAACATTGAAACCGATATGATACTATCCATCGATTAATATTCACATTACACGCGCACTTTTAAATGTTATAAATTATAATGGTACAACGAAACAGCTATCGATGGCGGTCGCCAAATATGCGCGAGCGTCGAAATCATAATTTACCCATGGCTGATTTTAACCGGACCTATAGAACAAGTAGTCGTTATTACACTTGCACTCTTCGGCGGACCCCTAAAGCGTGTGTTCGTCAAAATCATATTCTCGTACTGTTTTTGTTACACCGTCGAGCTTGTTCGTTTTACGGCGCGCGTGGAAATGCACCGCAGAAGATTTTTGTTTTCTTTTAGTGTTTTCTGTTCCGCAGGAGAAAAAGAACCAATAGCTTTGAATATTCCTACGCGACCGTCGACCTAATTTTCACAGGACTCGAAGTCTCGAACGACGATCATGTGTAAACGTTAAACAAACAGGCATACACAAACACGTACACGCGCACGCATAACCTATACGCGGTATACCGCGACCGCGTTCGTCCGAGGGTGCCGCGGGGCCCCCCGCGCAGGTTTCGATGCGGCGACGGGAAACGCGCGCGCACACTGGTCAGACGCGTATCACGTGTGGTCGCCGATCGCGGTGGCCGTTCTCTCGCGCGCGAGCTCCACACGCGCACACACGCACGCACACGCCATCTGTTCGGTGTGTTTCAATCAATGTGAACGCCGTACGTGCTCAAGTACACTCCCGGCAAACGTGTGTGTACACTTATAAGTAATTATATACAATACGTAACAAAACAGTCTCGGTGCGTATGTTGTGTGCAATTAAACACTTACGACCGAAACCGGGGTATTATCGGATGTGTGTGTTCCGAAGGATGAATAATGCGCGTGTTTTCCGTTCCTCGCTGATAAACCGGGCTGTTGTATCGTGTGCGCGCGCGTGTTTACGAGGAGATCTGTGCGCGGTACGGCACACGGGAAAACCTAGTCGATATCACGCACAGGCGTGTCCAGACCTTTTTAGCGTACCGTGCACAAGACAAACACGATGCTGGGTTACCGAAAGGAGAAAAGAATCATCGGTTTGTGAAAAAATCATTATTACTTTGTACAAGACTATGATTATGAGAGTTTCATGATTCCTACTATAATTCTAAACGTCGTTTTGTTGGAATCGTTGCTTTCGTTGTCTAACCCGTAGACACGCCTATGATATCACGTATCGTATCTTGTATATCACGTAGGGTTACCAGATGGTGCCTTTAAGAAAAGAGTACATAATACAATATAATGCCTTAAAAGTAATAATAAAAATCTACTTCCGTAGCTAATATTTATTTAATTAACAATACATTTCATATAGGTAATTAAAGATTACGAATTGAGACATAAAATTTAATATATATCATTACTTCGAATTTTTGATAAAAAACTTTCATCTTTAATACAGTAGTTATAAAACTAAATACAGTCAAAATGCTTAAAATTGTATTGTGTCATAAACAAGGCTTATTCTAAAGCGCAGTTGGGCTTATTTTGCGTATTTGGAAAAGGTAGATGCGCACTTGATAATAAACTTATACGTAATTGATTTTTAATTAAATGTTGTTTAGTGTTACTTTATACATTACATTATGATTTATATACAAAGTAAAAAGGAAATTTACTAAAAAATATTAAAAAAAATACTTTGAACACGAATGTAAATTGTTTTATATCTTTTAAATACATTACATTTTAAATTACTTCACATAGAAGCTACACATTTTATCATTTTTTAACTATAATTTGACAGTATATTTTGAGATCATAGTTCTATTTTGATAGGCTTATTTAAACAAAACGCGTAGTTGATAAAAATCCTTAGAATAATCCCTGGTCATCAACAAATATTTTACACAATCGGGTAGAAATCTATTTCTATCATCAGTCCATTGTGCTTCGATAAAGCTAAAAATTTTTTCGACATTGGCAGTTTGAGCTAGTATGGCGAAGTAAAACGTAAAACGTGCATATTTTTAAAAGTTCTGAAGACGTATCATAGCTCCTTTATTCAAAATATTTTACCCACTTTTCATCTGATAATAATGATGAGAAATCTTCATTTTTTTCCATTTCTGACAAAAACACTTTGAGATTGATCAAATAATAAAATGCCATTTAATTGTAGATCATATTTTTTTAAAAATAATATGCTATTATACAATATCAATCCACAAAGGTTTGGGATTTTAGGGACATCCATTTGAGAACATTAAATTGATCAAAATTAGCTGTTCATTTTTTCAAATAACACAAACATAAACATTTTACATTTATTTTCTTAAATTAGATGCATTTGATTAGTTATAATTATTTTTAAATATTTCTTTTACTTTTATGGATAAAAACTCTTGTTGTTTTCGTTCTTGCATTTTCTACTAACAACAATACATATAATATTTCCCAAATAGAATTATTTTCTTTTTCCATTATCTCAATTTTTGAATGAAATATATACATTAGTGAATAAATAAACCATAAATAATTTTCATTTAAAGGATCTTCAAAAAATGATTTAATTTCAATTGGTATTTGATTTTGTGACAGAAAATATGATTTAAGTGCAGGATTATTTAAACTGGATGTATTTTCAACTGTCTGTTTATAGCTGAAAACAATGATAACCATCTAGTTTTTGAGTGAAATAAAATTTTTTTATACTCAACATCGACAAAAGTACAAAATTCATTTAATGATTCTGTACGTACTGTTAAAATGAAAAATAACAATAAATTTTTATATAATAGACTCTATATCGATTGGTAAACTATCAATTGCGTGTTCTTTAGAAACAGTTATTTAGAATGTAAGCAGGGCATCCGATTCCAATAATTGGTTTTTTAATATGCTGTCGGAGACGATAAAAAACATTATTTGGTTATATATAGAAAAAGTAGTACATTTTTATCAGTATAAAAAAAGTGGGAGTACAAAAATTTTAAGAGCTCAAAAGAGAACATGTACTCTTAAAACAGTATATATGGTAACCCTAATATCACAGTAAGCTCTTGAACGATATAGCAGCTAGATTTGTTTCCCGTATACAACTTGCATACTGTGTGATATAATGATTTAATTCGAAGTACAGTACAGAATATGTTAATGATTGCTGATCGACTCTATGGAAATCTACTGCTGATTGTTACAATGCAACATCCATAGATCATACAATTTTACAAGAAAAACATCTGCATACAACCAATAATCGAGCTGCCGTACTTGATATACATATTTCGAACGTGTTATGTATCGATTTAGTACAAATCCGTCAAGTTGTTGGTCAAAGTGAACGTAGAAGGATGCCATCTTGTTTTTTAGATTAAGTTATACATCCCTCAACTTTTCAGATCAAAATTAATAGGACGCCACAACGTTGTGTAGTTCAAATACAGTGATATTAGCTTTAATATCAGAATTAACTCTCTTCTAATAAAAAATTAAATGAAGAACATTATCTATGTTTTGTTGATCGGTTTTTTCCATTAATTTAATTTTTAAACGAATTATGAGTTGTTTTTTTTTTGTATTGTAATAATTTACTTATTCATAACTCGCTGAAATTTAAAATATCGAAAAAAACCGACCAACAAAACATAAATTATATTCTTCCATTAAAGTATTATTATAGATCAGTTTACTCTAATATTAAAATTAACATCGCTACATTTGAACAGCTGAATACAAATTTGCTTTATTGTACTTTTGACAGACGAAGACATCACATGCAAGTATGACGTCTTTTTAACCATTTATCAAATCATATATTTTGAATAGCGTTCCATGATGACGATTCTACTTAATAAACTAATACATATTATATATTTGATAAGAAATATTAATTTACTTATTAAAAAAGACATATATTTTTATAAGGGATGATATGCTGTCTGGGAAAAGTTTACGAAGTTTAAGCATTCCTCTGCTTATTTAGAGCCAGTAATTAAATAGAATAAATCTATACATATCGACATTGTCAACGTTGGCGATGCGAATAGAATATATCTTTCGTTCTTAAATTATTATTACTATTATTATACTAAAGAGACGATCGACGTCTTCACCGTCTTTTTCTTCGGCGTCAATGTAGAGTACTAACCTGTACCTTCATATAGATACGATTGGATCTCATATAATATCCCCCCAAGGCGGAATCCGGCTTGGCCTATATATAGCGACCGGCGGCCGTAATCACCCGTCGTTATAGT